TTACTATAATGAAAAGGCCAGTGCTATTTCCAATACTGCTATGATTGTTATTTTGTTTTATAAGGTAATGTGCACTTTCACAGGTGTTAACAACATCAGCACGAGCCAAGCATAGCGTTCTGTGTACAAACGCTGCCAGTGCGCTTCCATCCCGACTGGCAATAATCCTTGCTATTTGTGTACTGAATGCTTGACCAAAGACCATGTCATACCAAAAAGTTCTGTGACCCAAGCAAGTGGGCTGACAGCCACTTAACACTTGCTAAATAATTATTCATGGTTGCAGGTCCTGACATTGAAAATCTGCTTTAATGCAGATGTAGAGACAAAAAAAAAAATAAAAAGCTTGGTAAGTGCAGCTGTTATTCAAGCACCAAAATCCTCATCCTTTAGGTTGTGGGTATATAATAGAGATTATTAACTCAGATGTTTACTGGGGATGGGAGCTTTACCTTATTACATTTAATTTATTTTTAATTACAAAAAATCAACATTCTTTGAACTATTTATTATAGAGTATAAGGAAAAAAAACAATATAGCAAGAACATTACCATTACTTATGCCCTTGACTAGCTGTCTGACTGCAGATTAGACTAGACCTGAATTAAATGAATGCAAAGAGAAATGTGTTGCTATGAGACCCAAATCAGTCATGTGATATATTTAAGGTCTGATGACAAAATCAAGGCAGTTCTAAATCAAAAGCCAGAAGTCCACCTTTAACTAATCTCACTGTGCCTACCTATTGCAGGAATACACACAGCACTGCTTGGGATTTTAATTTATCCTCCCTTCTAATGGAACAGTAAATGAGCCTCTCAAAGTACTACCAGGCTTAAAAGGTAAGTACTACCAGGCTGAGGTAAGGACACAGAATGCCTGAACTGGGAGATTTCTGCAGTTTCAGGTTTGTTTGTATTTAACCCTACACAGTCCACTAGAGGGCATTAAAAGAGTATTTAAAGCTATTTCCAGACAGCTCAAAGATGAAGCTACCCACCTCAAACAGTATTTCTCTGGCAACTACTGCATATTATTTTCCAAAACTGTAGAAAAGCCACCGTATTCCAAATATTTATTTCAACTAATCCACTTAAGTTTTGATAGGTTTGATAGTACAATAACGGTTAGCCCAGCACACTTTTTATGCTCTCGAAAATGTCCAGAATGAAAGGTTTCACAGGTTTGACTGAAGTCAGAATTTTTAGCAGGCCTGTTCAGTCATCTCCAATGCATTCCCCCCCAAGGTGGATCAGGAATGGACCCTAAAGCATTGGCACCTACACTATTTATACCATCTATCAATCACATCTGATCAGAATTGCTATGGGAGAACCCATATTCAAAATAATCGATGTAAGTATTAGAAAGGCAGAATACAGAGCAGCACCATGGCATAAATGTCTATCAAATTCACTTTTGATTCAGCCCTATAAGGAGGCAGATCAAGATGCAAAGTTCAGCTAAGTACTTCAAACCCTCATCCACACTCAGAGGGTTTTAGACTTGGAGTTTAAGCTCATCTCTCATTTGCAGCATGCAAACTATTTGAAATAATGCAGAATTTGCTGATTTTAAGAGATTTGTAATCCAGCCACACCAGTTTACCCCTATTCACAGACAGACTATGAGCACAACCAACAAATTAGTTTGCAAGTATCTAACTCACAGTATGAAAAACATCAGCCTACTACCTCTTCTCCTCCAGGGATCGAAAAAACATCAGGAGCGGACGATGATTTCTTCAAGAGGTTCTTATAGTACGTTTCAGCATCTACTTGCAGAACCTCTGGATCTCCTTCTAACGTATCTACCAAGTAAAGGCAACCTGTAGTTAAAATAAAACACAAAATATATTTTTACTTTTTAAATAAACTAAGAAACATGAGTTTTAAAGCCTCAGTTTCCTCAGCAGCTGCTCGGTGTAGCTGGGCCCTTATTGTTCCCATTAGAGCCTTTTGTATAAACCTAGTCTAAAATAGCAAGGCTGGTAAAAATCTATCTATATGTTTTTACCTCTTGATATGCAATTTTACAAAGTAGGGCCATAACAGCATCAAATCACATTTGTCTCCTTTGAATTCAGCAGCCACAGTCTCAAATTTCTCTAGGTGCAAGTGCACTGCTTTAAAGCTGTTAAGAACAAAAAAAAACTTCTTCAAAACACAGCCTGAGTTTTAGTGCTGTCCAAAATATAACAGGAAAAGAATTCCAAAGCTTCCACTCTTTCTTGGAAGACTGCCCCTTTATGGGTCAGTCCGTGCTCTGTTGTATAACATTAGTTTTCTCTTTTTCTTTTTTTAGTAACTTCAACTGGCCACTTTCACAACAATTAAATAATGCCAAAAAATATTAAAATATTTACCTACATAATAAGAGTTCCCAAAATAGTAACCATCTTGTATGCAACATAGCTTTTAATCCATATGACTCAATGCTGAAGGGTGTTTATGCAAGGTATTTGTTAACTGCATGCAAAGAAAAATTACATACACCTGATGCCTGTTACCTGAATCCAAAGTCCAACTCAGTGCTCATGAGAAACCAAGCAACCTCCTTCTGATATAACAAACCCGACTGATTGGTGGTTCATCACCAGCTCAAGATAAAGAACACCAGAAGGAATGGGTTAGTAGGGGTTTTCAATCAACAAGCTACACCTGCAACTCTTGTAAGCCCCAAACTGAGGACAAAACCTACCACACTGCTATAGTTGGAATCATAGCTCCGAATCCTCCGTTTTTATTCATCGTTTGCTCTCACATGGCAGCTCCTGTGACCCAAGTTTAATGTGAAATAACTGCACTGATTGTAAGTGCAAAGTAAACAGCTTGAGACAATGAACAGTCTTTACAGAGCCACTGCAAGAACTGTCTATATTAAGATTCAGAAGCTATGAATCACAAAATTACTGTATTGAAAATAACAACCTTCCCTGTAAAAGTAGGAGCATGGGATATGCAGTACCAGGTCAGACTATTCACCCCAGGTCCCACCATCCTCCCTCAGTATCTGATTCCTCAGCAAAAGGGTAAGAAACTACAACTGATAATTCACCACCACTCAGCACTGCTTAAAATGCTTTAAACACTAAATCCCTGCCCTTTGCAGGCAACCAGCTTACATCTCGAGGCTTGACAGCAAAGCAATGCAGTCAGAATGCTGAACAGAAGCAACTCTGTAAATGGTTTTCCTAGTATGTTTGTCTGTGATAAAAATGGGAGAGAAAGCAGCATTGCAACACTGGCAAGTTGAGTCACATTATAAAAATCCCAGCCAGTACCCAGCAGTGGCAGTTTTCTTCTGCAGCAGCCTTGCCCAGTGTGCTGTGTAACACCATCAAGCAAAGAAGCCATATAAGGGAAAGAAATTAAAGATTAATATTAAAAACTTTAGTAATTTACTGAAGTAAATTTACTAGCCAATTAATTCTTGCAAAAGAGCAGCATGTAAGACTTGAGTCTAACACAAAGAAAAATATTGGCCATGCTAATAAATACTATTCATGTGATGCTGCTTACAAGGCTACATCTTGCCATTGTTAAGCCAAAGCAATTTAATAATCACAATCATGTTTTCTCCTCACTGAACAAAATAACGAGTACCTTCAAAGTTACACTGACTTTCTGGTACATAACATGCTCGTATTCTAAGGTAACAGTAACCATTTGAAGGATAAAATAATGTCACAAATTAAACAATGTGCCATTAAAGAAAACTGCTGATTAACTTTCCATTAATAAAGCTTTCCACAAAAGTAATTTTTTTTTCTCTAAAAATCACTTTTACTCTTCCAGTTAACTTGTCTTTCCCATGTAATACTCTGAAAACACCCAAGTGAGTTAGAAGCACATATTCTAATAAAGGGGAAATTAAAAAAAAATTAATGAAGAAAACAAATCTGTCTCAGCTTCTGTATATAAGGGGGGGGGAGGGGGGGAACAGAGAGAGTGAAGATCCTTTAGGGACGATACAGAGCAGAAGTCAACTTTAGGTACCCTGGAGTGTCCTCAAGAATTCAGTTGTGCTAAGGCTTTTGTGAGCATCCCCCCAAAACCTGCACACACATGCACATCCCACTAATACTGTTCAGCTGCCATAGGTAGGAGAAAAATCACTAGTTTGAATTTTTTTTTTACGTTAATTAATGTGTTTCCCAGTTTTCCCCAGTATAAAGTGAAGAAATTATATTTGCCCTCCTGTATATCCCTTTTATGCCCTTTTTGTATATAGAAATGAAAAAAACCAAACAAAACAAAAAAACCCAAACCTCTAAATCTAACCATAACTATTGTTACTAGGCATTTGACCACAACAATAATTATTGCTGGCTAACAGGATGTTACAAAGGTTCCAAAATGATAATTTGTTAACTTTGCTTTAAAAGAAAAGCAGCGCTATTCTCCTGTGCGTGCTTCGGTCTGAGGCCCCTATCAGCACCTTGAGATACCAAAATTACAAAGTTCCAAGGACCTCCTTTTTAACCTAATTTGAATTACAGGATTTCATTTGAATTTGATCTTACCTAGAAGCAACAAAAGAGCACATTGTGGCAGCCAATCTGCCAGACACCCAGCCAGCACTTCTTTCAAAGAGGGCTGTGCACAAAGGGTTACCAGCCGGGGAAGGAAAGGAGGGAGCGAAGGGGGGCAGGAGGGGTGAGTCATAAAAAAGGGGCCCCTTGCAGCAGCTACAGAGGAGGGACCATAAACCATAAGGAGAGTAAATTTAGAACGAGAGGCCTACTGCATGAGAGGGATTCCTGACATTCACGCTGAAGGGGCTGCCATCTTAAATAGCCAAAGCTGGTAAACAAGGTCAAGGCATCATCTAGGCGGATTCTCCAGCAGCAGTGACCATGAAGGGTTTGCAGACGGGTACCAGACTTTGGCTTTTACAGGGCACCAGCATTCAGGGCGAAGGAGGAGGAAGTGTATGCCATTCCACTGGAAAAAAAAACTTATCTAGAGATAAATAAATGAGAAATCGGAATGGGCATATTTCCATTTCAAGCATACAAAATAGATTTTAAAGCAAAAACTAAGACTGCTTCTGCTTCTCCTCTCTTTTGTTTCCATGGAGCAGTCTGGGCCATGTTCTCAAGTGAGGATGTGTAAGCGCATCTCCTCTCACTCTAGTGATCTGTCATCAATTTGCACTAAGAATCTGTTTTTTAAAGTGAAAAGCTACAGCTAAAACCAGCCATACAAACAAGCAGGCACTGCCCATACAACTTGGTTATCTTTATGAGATACCACCCTCCAGCACCTATAGGTACCTCAGCCTAAAACATCACACAACTCTGCCAAGAGGGCATAAACCACGGCCCCTGTTTTAGTCCTGATCCCTAAACTCAGCTTTTTCTAAACCCACTGCTCTTCCACCTCTGGTTTTCTCCAGAATAGAGCTGAACTTTATGGTGGTTTCATGAAGTGGACAAATATCCTTCTTGAGAAGTAAAAGGCAGACTTAATTTGTGATCCAAAAAGGTCAATACATGGGAATCCACATAGATCTGATTAACATGCTTATGTCCTGCATCAATTAGATAAATAACAAATGCAATCACAAAATAGAATAAGATATTGTACCTTAAACTAGAAATTAAGTTTTGTAGATTAGAGACAGAGAGCCCCACATTACAAGAATTTCACTCTATCAGTTAAAGTAAGCAGGAAATATTTTTCCATGGGCAAAACAATTTATTCTCAATACAACAGAAAACACATGGTGCACACACTTTTATGCAAAATTCCACAAGTGGAACTATAGACCGCTGTAATGCCCGAAGGTAAGTGACAAGCTTCAATCTAATCAGATATTCCGAAGGTTCTTTTTGATGATCCTTCTATATCCTCTGCAACTAAACCCTGTGCCATAACAGAAATAATTTAATTAGAATATAGATAACCACAGACTTATCTCATTAATATAATGCTACAGCAATTCAAATAACGATTACATCCCTCAAGCTCTCTTTCACTAGACTAGTTATTTTAGTACCTATGTGTTAGTTTTACTATTTTGCCATTATCTAACAAATCAGTTACAACTTGGGACAATCAACTCTCTTTGTAAAGATGTTTTCAATACGCATTTAAGTTTCAAATTAGTAGTTACTACTAATATACTTAAGTCCTTTTTGACCATGAATCCAATATACAATTTATTAAACAAGAGATATTTGCTTTCATTGTTAAGAATTTGCTATTCTTGCATTCGCATGTAGCTTATTAATACCATTACCTGAAGCCAGCAAAGTTGATGATGCCAGTTTTTTTCAGACCAGACACACCATTGGGTTGATTAAAATGCGTTGAGGTATTGCTGGTACTCCCAGGAAAGACTTACTTGTTGAAAAGCCCGTTTCAAAGATTTGTAAGGGCATTTAGGATGCAGCCAGATTGTAAAGCAAAATACATCAACCTCACCGTAGATGAAGCATGAAAAGTGTTATGTCTGAAGTGAATTAATCATTTATCCTACAACTACTTTTTCGTGTTCTACAAACACAGAGAATGATACTACATGCATCCATCAAGAACTGCATGTTTACAGAAGAGCCATCAGTCACCACAGGATTTGTATCTGGACTGTGCATCTTTGTACATTTGTGCAAATTAATGCATAATTTGTCATGTAAAAGTATGAAAAATAAGTCTGATTTCTGGTGGTGCAGAAACAAGATAGATAAAAAGAACAAAAGAACTTAACTTTACCAACTTCCATTATTTTTTTATTAAGTTTTGCCATTTTTAGTGCTTGCAATAGCAGTACTGGTTTTATTTATTGGCTTTATTTTCATGCCAATATATTTCACAATAAAAAACTTCAGCAGGTTTTAAGTGTTTCTTACAGTACTGTGAGGCTTTTTTGTCCAAGAAGTATTGTTCCTTTTTATTTTTTTTTAATCAAAAAACACTTTGCAATACGAGACAAACATGCACCAACACACAATGACAGTGTATCATGTCAATATTTAGGAGGGAGTGTTCTTGTAATTAAAACAGGCAACTGAGAGCAGAACTCCTAAGATTTATTTTTAACACAGGTGTGTTTTTGTGGCCCCAAACAAATCACTTCATCTTCTGTCTGCTTTCTTATCAGTTAAGTGTATGTCTTATCTACCACTTCAAAAGGGTGTTTTCCTTATCAGTGCCTCTGAAGTCACAACATAAAAGACAAAGAATTCATATCACGTGAATTGTTCTCTGTTCTCCTGTGGACTGTCACTGCCACAGTTTGCCAGCACAACCATGACAGTGTCTAGGATCTAAAGATAACTTTTTTTTGCCCTTCTAAATCATGCACATATAACAAAAGTGCTTTCCATTACCCTCTCACAGGAGTGGGAGCTCTGTGTTAAACAGCAGTGCCCTAACATCAGCTCTTCTCCTTTCCTTCCATTGAGCTTGAACAAATCTACGCATGTGGTTATCATTAGACAACCATATTTGTTTAACCTTCCAAAGAAAGGAAGAGGTCTTTGGCACGTTCCCGGGTGTACATGCAGAACCTGACTCTCATATCCTGAATTTAATTGAGCAAGTACATGTCAAAAACTCAAGTTCTAGCATAAGTGAAACTTCAGTATCATAACAACGTGTGGTGGTAATGGAGCTACTAGGCAAGCGCCGTGGTATGGTATCTGTCCAACATGGCAAGGCAGCTCTTAACCACATGCTGGACATCATTAATTAAAACAATGTTCTTCCCCACTGCATTGCTTTTCACCATTACTAATAGAGCA